GAATTAGCTTTACCCCGAGAACAGAAAAGAATTCAATAAGAGATCACATACTGTCACAACATCGAACATAATATTTAAATATCTTCCCCACCACTATCAACATATAATCAAAATCCAATCAACTATTTGAAGTTTCGGGTGCGGCAAGGAATCGCTAACATAATAAGCAGTTCTCCACCCCTTCCCCCCAAAAGAAAATGAATAATAATAAGAGAGGACAAGAAATATCCAAAGAGAAACATCATGATGTATCAACGAAGAAGTCCATCTCAAGCAGAAAAAAGCTGGAAGCACAAACCTGGTAACGGTCTCCATGTCCAGCCTGAATAATCTCCATGAGCCGCACTTTTTTCTCTGTGCATCTTTTGCAACGAGCATCAGTCATCTGTGCCACAAACCAATCAGAAGTGAGCAACAAGAAACAACATACTCAACCTTTGTAAAGTTTTCTGTAAGAAGCATCAGTCATCTGTCACACAAAAAAGAATAGAAACAAGCAATAAGATATGTCGAAATGAAATGTTTCCCAGTCTTATAACATGATCACATCAATTTTGCCAATTAATCATGGCCAAATTTCTAAAACTCTTTTTCCAGGTACTCAACATGAAAAGAAAATTCTGAATTAAAAGGCTTTCAGTACATTGAGAAGCTATATTCAACTTAACAACGACAACAACAACAAACAACAACAAACCCAGTATAATCCCACATAGTGGGGTCCCACAAGTATATGAATTACCCTACCTTGTGGATATATATATTCAACTTCATTATAGAAAACAAAAACATGCGCAGTCCTCCCTGAATACGGGAAAAATATTCCGATCACATTTAGTCTTATCTCAAAGGGATACATGTAGCTGGTGATCAGAATCAACGACCAACTCCATCACCAAAATACTAAACTAAAGTTTGCTATGGTTAGTTAAACTAAATCCTGGTTAAAGACTTGAATTCCGAAAAATTACCATCATTGTCAGTACCCAAAAGGAGCACCTACTAGGTGCAAGAAAATTTGGCCCCATCTGTATCGACATATGCAGTTCTTTGTGACCTCTCCAGAAAGGAAGATTTTATTCACCGAAATCTCCCTCAGAACACATTATTGCCCTGAAGCTATTTGTAAAATTCAACTGAACATATTCTTAGTGCATGCTCATCATGAGACTAAATCTTCAAAGTAGCTTCACGAATACCATCATATCTACCAGACAAGCACTAATAATAGTATATAAGCACGGATTTTTTTATTGAATTTCTTAAAGATCTTCAAATAAGCATATATTGAGCTCAAAATGAAGCCGGAGTTCATTTACTCCATTGAGTCGACCTCAGTTTCATGTTGAAACTTAGTATTAAAGCCCAACAGAGCTGAACGCTCGAGTCATTTAGACACCTACATAGGCTATAAATTTTTGCCATAGAAGTGGTGTCCAGGCAAGTTTGAGCGCACCACGACTGTTCTACCAGATATCTGCTATCTCCCACCATCACAGGTACTGGTTAACCTTGCCCACCAAAACTTAGGCTGATGAGAAAAGATCACCTAACATTTTTCTTGTCTGTTGGAATTTGAACTTCATTAACTAGGCCACAACATCTTCCTCCATACAAAGAGAAAAAGGAAGATGACTGTTTAATGTAGCAACTAAGCTTCTTCAGGAACAAAATAATATAGTATAAACCTGTATGGGCTCCGGCTCTTCGGGCTCCCTGCTTGCTATCTCTTCTGCTGTTAGACCTTCCTGAGATAGAAATGGAGAATAACATCAAATAAAGGAAAGCATAATCTGCTGGGGCAATTTTCAGATTCCTCAACAGAAATAAGAAACTACAGATTTTCAGAGAAAGATTAATAACTTATAATCTCCGTATAAGGCAGACATTCTTCTCAAGAAACCAATCTTGTATTTGCCAAGTGTGGATAAAAATCCAAATGAACCATCCACCAAAAGAAATGAATATTAAGCAGAAGAAATTGCTTTTCTTAAATTCTTAAAACCAAAACCAAACTATGAGGCAGGTTTGTACAGTCTTCTACGTAACCTAAATTAGTTTCTTCTTGCAGGGAAGGAAATGAAGACACCTTCCACATTTCAAGCACC